CGCCGATTCCAGGCCGGCGTGCCCCTCCGGAGCCGCTCCCCACGCCCTTGTCGCTGCCCCTCAAGTCGTGGCTCACCTCTCCCTCCGCCTCCTCTGCCTCCCCCTCGAGGCCCCGAGGTCCGACCCTGTGAACAGACTGCAGCAGCGTGAAGAGCACAACCAGAGCCTGGGACCCCCCCCCTTCTTGCTGCCCCTCTTGACTGCCCCATGCTTTACTGACGGAGAAGAGGGGGGAGGAGGAGGAGGAGGAGGAGGAGGAGGAGGAGGAGGAGGAGGAGGAGGAGGAGGAGGAGGAGGAGGAGGAGGAGGAGGAGGTAGGAGAGGAGGGTGGAGGAGGAGGAGGGGAGCGTGCAGGAGGAGGGGGGGAGGAGGAGGAGGAGGAGGGGAGGAGGGGGAGCAGGAGCGCTGGTCTGCAGAGGTGGAGGAGAGGAGGAGGAGGAGGAGGAGGAGGAGGTGGAGGTGGATGGAGGAGGAGAGGAGGAGGCGGAGGGGTGTGGCGGACGGCGGAGGGCGAGGAGGATGCGGAATGAGGAGGCCGTAGGCGGAGCGGTGGCGGAGGCCAGGAGGGCGGAGGAGGCGGGAGGCAGGAACGGGCGGAGGGCGGAGGCGGAGGCGGAGGCGGAGGCGGGTGGGGTAGGCGGAGGTCGGTGGCGGAGGCGGATGGCGGAGGCTGGAGGCGGAGGCGGAAGGCGGAGGCGGAGGTGGTGGAGGAGGAGGGGAGGAGGTGGAGGACAGGAGGAGGAGGAGGGGAAGGAGGAGGTAGGATGGTGGAGGAGGAGGAGAGCGGTAGGAGGGTGATGGAGGAGAAGAGGGAGGGGGGAGGATGGGAGGAGGATGAGGGAGGAGGAGAGGGAGGGTGGAGCGGGAGGAAGGAGAGGGAAGGAGGTAGAGGGAGATGGAGAGGGAGGAGGAGGAGGGAGTGGAGAGGGAGGAGGGAGAAGGAGGGAGGAGAGGGGGGAGGAGGAGGAGGACGGAGGGAGGAGGGGAGGAGGTGGCAGAGGGAGGTGGAGAGGAGTGGTGGCAGAGGGAGGTGGAGTGGGAGGAAGGAGAGGGGGAGGAGGAGGAGGAGGAGGAGGAGGAGGAGGAGGAGGAGTAGGAGGGGAGGAGGAGGAGGAGGAGGAGGAGGAGGAGGGGGAGGAGGGGGTGAGGAGGGGGAGTAGGGAGGAGGAGGAGGAGGAGGAGGAGGAGGAGGAGGAGGAGGAGGAGGAAGAGGAGGAAGAGGAGGAAGAGGAGGAAGAGGAGGAAGAGGAAGAAGAAGAAGAAGAAGACGAAGAAGACGAAGAAGAAGAAGAAGAAGAAGGAGAAGAGGAGGAGGAGGAGGAGGAGGAGGAGGCCCCCTTTTCACTGCCCCACCGAGTGGAGCGCCAGGGTCTGTCGGGGGGCGGCGGCCGTCCTCCGCGCGCCCGCCCGCACGGCCAGGCGCCCCGCGCGCTCCGCCGGCTGCCGGGCGCACCCTGCGCCGCGGCGGCGCGCCGCTCGGTGGGCAGCGGCAGGCGCCTGGCCTCGCTGGTCGCCGCCGCCGTCGCGTCGTGGTCGACGTCGTCGTCGTCGTCGTCGTCGACGTCGTCGTCGTCGTCCTCCTCCTCGTCGACGTCGTCGACGTCGTCGTCGTCGTCCTCGTCCGCGCCACATCCATGGATCGCTAATCCATGCTTGCGCGCCCCCGAAGGAGGGCCCTCGTCGCCACGGCTGCATCTTCTGGCCAGAAATCTCCCCAAGAGTTCTGATGTTCCAACCGACTGTAGCCTGGATTACCTCGAAGAGTTTCGAGCACCAGGAAAGTACCGAAATTGGAGGGTTTTCGAAGCTTGGGCCCTGGGAGACGATACGTGCTCGTTCGACACTGTTTCGACACTTGCTCTGGGTGCTCGAGCTCCTTTCTGGGATGTGGTCCTGGAGTGCGATGGGGGCAGCATGCCCCCACGAGAGAGGTCCGGGGAGTGGCGGTGCGCCTCGGCAGCTTCCTCCCCCTTGAGGCGGGGCGGGTGTGACCCGTGCCCGCCGCTGGGCGCCGTGCCTCGACGCGTTGGCGCCTCCCGGCGGTTGGGGGGGGGGGGGGGGGGGGGGGGGGGAGCTCGGGCTGCGGGAGGTGCGGTCCGCCGTGCGCCGCCCGGCCCGAGGCCCCGAGGCCGGCGCTCGCGCTCGTGCATCCGCCAGCTCTGCGGGAGCCGGCCTCCGAGGACCTCGGGAGGCCAGGGCCTGGGCACAGGTCTGGTGTCTCTTCGACAGGAGGAATATTCAAACATATTTTAAAAATAGTCAGGGGGCGATGTTTTTTTTGAACTTCTTTGGCATTTTTGAATATTCTGGGACTTTTTAAAATTCTTAGTCCAAAAATCTCCCTGTAGGGAGACACGCCTGACTTAAGTCTGGTGGCCTCCAGCCCGCGCCCGCCGCCTTGCCTGGGTTTTGAGCCAGAGACCTATCGGATGCCTGGTGCGGTCCCTCGGAAGCCTCTTGAGGGCCTCCTGGGAGTCTGGTGAGCCCACTGTAGGCCTCGTTTCGTGCACCTTGCAAGCTTCTGGGGGTCTCTTGGGGGCATCTTCGGGTTTTCCAGGGCAATCGTTGCGGGAAAGGCTCCCAATGTCCCTCTCGTGGGCCCCTCTCTGGTTTTTCTCAAGGTTTCGCGTTATTCGGAGGAGTCGGGCCGTCGCGCGTTGCTGGGCATGATGGCGTCTATGTCGGGCTCCTCGTCCGTGCCCTCTGGTTATACCTGTCGGCGCACAGCTGGCAGTCTTGGCCGCTCAACGGATGGCACACAGGCAAGCCGGAGACGAGAACGAGAGCAGAGAGGGGTGGGGAGCAGGGGGAGGTTCGCTCCTCTGACGTTGAGATTTACGTTCCGTGGGCCCCCAGGCCCCCCGACCCCCTCCGCAGGCCTGTTCTTCCCAACGCTCTTGTGATGCCGCGTCCTTGGTTTCCATCCGCGGCCCTCTGCTTCTCGTTCTCCCCCATCATCCTCCTGTGCTCCCCAGACCTCCCGTGTGGTCGAGCCCTGGCTCCGCGCGGCGCGGCTGCGATCCACACGCATGGCGCCACCGCCCCCCTCCTCCTCCTCCTCCTCCTCCTCCTCCTCCTCCTCCTCCTCCTCCTCCTCCTCCTCCTCCTCCTCCTCCTCCGGTCCCCCCTCACGAGGATCGTGGCCCCACAGGCAGCTCCGCCTAATTACGGCCTCGGTGAGCGGCGACGCACGGCGCCACCGCTTCCCGCTCCGGCGGCACACCGCGTCCCGAGGAGTTCCGCCCTCCACCCCACGGGGGCGCGCGGCGGCACCAACGCCCACGGCCTGAGGGCACGCGAGGGCAGCTGCCCACGCTGCGCGCGCCCTTCTGGATGCTGTGCTGGGCAGCCGTGCTGTCTCTCTTGCGCCCTCCGCGCTGCTTCAGAAACGCGCCTTCGTGTGGAGTAGGAGGAGGAGGAGGAGGAGGAGGAGGAGGAGGAGGAGGAGGAGGAGGAGGAGGAGTAGCAGGAGGAGGAGGAGGAGGAGGAGACCCTTACAGGGAGGCGCAGCATTCGAGTTGCTCGAAGCTGCGTAAGGTCGGGTCCTTCGCCAGGCTGACTTGTCTCCGAAATGGGCCTCCAAGGGTCCACTATTCTGTTATGGCTCTGGAGGTCTGGGCCGCAGTCCTGAAAGTCGACCATCTGACCTCTCTCCTAGTTCTTTCCCATACCGCCTTCGAGCTAGCAGTTCGAGGGAGTTGTGCGCCCAAGGACCACGATCTCCATTTCTTTTCCTCCCTCATCTTGGAAAGAGTGGTCTTACTGGAGAACGACTCTGTCTCTGCCTGAGGATGTGAGAGCGCCACGAAGAAACACTGAGGCCGATCAGGCGAGCCGTCCCTTCCCAGGGACGTCTCGCGCATGCCAGAGCGACCTTCGGGTCGCACCTCGGCCTCCAGTGGCCCGCCGTCTGGGACGAACCAGGCACCCCAGGAACGTTCTCGGCGAGGCGCCGCGGCTGGAAGGCACCCTGAGGCGAGAGAGTCCCCACGAGCCGACGAACGCCCCCGATGATTCCCAGGAGCAGCTAGGTCGCTCGTTCCTGCGATCTATCTTCGGGGACCTCGGTGGGCGGTCGTCGATGTGGATATGTTCGGGCCCTGGGGCAGCCATATCTATATGTATATGTATATATATGTGTATATATACATATATACATACATACATACATATATATATATATATATATATATCCATGTCCATGTCCAACTCGTGTCAAGGTCACCCACGATCTCTCCCCCAGGCGGTGGTGATGGATAATCCCCGCCTCGCAGTTCAATCGTCTTCGAGGGGACGGGGCGGAGGCCGAAAACCGTAGTAGAACTGTTTGAGTATTAATATTCCATGTTATTCCGCTGAGTCAGGCTACGCTAATTTCAATACTTGGCTAAATTCGGGCTCATCCGACTTGACGGCCCTTTCATCGGGCTGCAGAGTATGGTCCCGATTTTGCGAGGACCTCCCAGGAGCTGCCCCCGAACATCTTCGCGGGTACGGTCACGAGCGGCGAACATATCCGTATCCGCGCCCTCGCGGTCTGGATTCCAGATCGCGATCCCGCGGATTCGCGGTCGCACGGATATGCTCCGCGCGGGGCATCCGCGAGCAAACTTTCGGTATCCGCGAGGTCGCACGGCCCAGGGGCCCAGCCCGCGGGGCCGCGGAGACGGATGTGTGTTTTCGCCCACGTCGGCGGCACGCCCAGGAAGCGAGGGGGCAGTGGCGGGGCTCCTCAGAAGCCCTCGCACCCTCTGAGAATGCCTGCCCCCCCCTCACTCCCCATCCTGGACTCGCCGCCAACTGAGCCACGAAGGAAGCCGGTACTCGCCTTCACCGACGCTGGCGCGCCAGCGGCCCGCGCACAGTCGTGCGTGAGCGCCTTCTTTTCCGCGCGGTGTGCCGCGCTGGCGGCCCGCGTGAGCTGCCGCGCAGGGTCGCCATGCCATCTCGCGCAAGACCCCTCGCCTTTTCGTTGCCCAAGTTCGCATCTTCGAAGCTGGATGCGTCGGGAAGAAGAGGCGGAGGCCCGCGCAGAGCGGGACTCGCCCAGGGAGTTGCGGCGCCCGCGGCGCGCACCAGTGCAGCACACGAGCGAGCGGCCCTGAGGCCGGGACGGACACCAAAGGGCAGCCCGGCGTTGCCATGCGGGCCCCAACGGCATCGACCTGAGGAGATGGAGCTGCAGTGGAGACCTATGCCAAGAGACACGCTGCGTGCCTCCAGGGTGCCCCGGGTGTCTCGGGTGTCGATGGTTTTGCCATTGAGAGCGCGACGTGCCCACGCCGAAACATCCGTGGACGGCCTGGGGTCTCAGGGTGGGGCTTCTTGTAGAAGGATTCTTGTGGACGGGCCCCTGCTGTGCGGTAAATCCTGTTGTGGGAGCTTGGGCCCATGGCGGTGGCAGTCTGGCGCCCGCGCGCATTTGCGGTCGAAACCGATGAGAGAAGCGCGGCTGGCCTTCCCGAGGGTGCCCCTGCATCCTTGCCGCTCTTCGGCTCCTCCTTGAACACTCTCGGAGGCCAGACCCCGCTCGAAAGACGCTTCGACACGGGCGCCCAGGGGGCTCGCGTCCTTCTCGCGCGTCCTTGCTCTCAACTCTGGCTGCAACATCCCCGCGGGGACGGGGCGGAGGCCGCCCCCCCCCCCCCCCCGCCGATGTAAGGCTGGCGCCCTCTAAGAAGCAGCCTCCTCCTGAGCAGCCGCTCCCCCTCCCCCGCCCCCCCTGTGCGCGCTACCAACTGGCAGCAACTAACGGGGAAACCGAAAGGCACCCATACCACAACTCCCTGGGACCCCTCCTGGGTGCGTTCTGACCAGGGTTGCAACGAGGGCCTCCGAGGAGGGCCCAAACCAGGAAAACGATGCAATGGTAGAGGCCTGGGTACCTTCCCGGAGATCCGACGTCGTGATATTTTCAATGCTGGGTCCCCGGAAGTCTCGACCTCATTCCCCAGGACAGGCTTCTCACGCTGAGCAGGAAAACGATGCGATGGTAGAGGCCTGGGTACCTTCCCGGAGATCCGACGTCGTGATATTTTCAATGCTGGGTCCCCGGAAGTCTCGACCTCATTCCCCAGGACAGGCTTCTCACGCTGAGGCGGTCTTTGGACAGTCCCGGGGCCCGGAGAGGCCCCCCGGGGCCGAAGATGGCGAAAACCTGCCGCCCTTCTTTTTTCGACGACGCGATCCTGTCTGGGGGTGCCTCTTGGCCTCCCCTGCGCGCACCCCTGCGCGACTGTACATGGACATTATATTCGAACCCTGTGGCCCAAGATGCCCCCCATACCCCCCGAAATGAATATTGATGGCGTGGCGACGGGGGGGCCGTGAGTGGACAGAAATATTTTGAACCCCAAAGAACCGTCTTTACTGAGGTCAACATTGATGTCGGGGGCGCGGGGGTGACTTAGACTCTCCCTCGAATGTGTCTAAGGGTTCGAATCTATATTGTCCATCCACTGGGGGGCGGGGCGGAGGCCGCCCCCCCACCGCTGGCCAGGCTGGCGGCGGCCCCGCCGGGGGCGCCCTGGGCCGGCCGCCGCCTCGCGCCGGCGCCCCTTCTCGGCCGCGCGCGGAGCGCGGCCACGGTGACGATGAAGACGCCGGAGTTCGGCGCGGAGACCGCCGCGCAGGGTTCGAAGAAGAGGCGAGCAGTCTCGAATCCAGAATGTTCTTGGGATTCTTTCTGCGAGTCTAGAATGTGTTTGGGATTATGCTTCATGTTTCCTCCAGAATCCGCCCGTAGGAGGACACGCCTGACCTGTGCGCAGGGTCACGGGCAACGATCGGGCGGGTGTTGCCAGAAGTGCCCCTTGCCCGGGGGCGTAGAAGAAACAACGCCACAAGCATAAACTTTTGGCGCTCCTGGCGGATTTCTTGGATCTGCGCTGGGCCCCCCTGGGCGGCGCCTCCATCGCCGCCCCTGGTGCGCTCCGTGCGCAAGGGAGAGGGGCCCAGCGCAAATCCAAGGAATCCTCGCGGAGCGCCCAAAGTTTATGGTTATGGCGTTTTTCCTTCCTCTAGTCAGGGGCAACGATCGGGTGGGAATTGCCAGAAGTGCCCCTGGCCCAAGGTGCCCCCAGGATTTCCAAGGAGGCCCCCGCGGCCTCCTCACGAGGCCCAGAGGGCACCAGGGGCTCCAACACATAGATCGAAAAGCTGAGGGCACCTTGGGCCAGGGGCACCTTCGGCAAAAGAGAACTGCCCTAAAGGGGCCCTCTAGGATCCTCTTTGGGCCCCTGCTGGCTCCAAAGAGGACCCTCGAGGGCCCCTTTAGGGTTTTTTTTCTCCACCCCCCATGGAGGCCACCCCCCATTGCGGCCCGCCCGAGGGTCGGGAGCAACGACAGAGGGAAGGGGGATAGGCTGCGACGGGGGTGCATCGGCCCCCAATCGCCCGCTGATCGCCGATAGGGGCCCGATAGCCCACCTCGTCGGAGAACGTGCGGAATCGCTATCGGGGGGCCTACGTATCGCCAGTGTGGCGACGATGTGTCGCCCATGTCAGGTCGATGGCCACCCGTTGAGCCCCCCTGCCGCTGCCCCTCACTAGGGTCGGGGGCAGCGTTGGTCTCCTCGCCTCCCAGATGGGGTCGGAGCAGATGGGGTCGGAGGATCACGCCGCATGTCGCCGATGCATCGGCGATGCGTCTGGATGTCGTGTGCCCGATCTTCTCCGCGCGGACGTCGCCGCTGCACCGTCGACGTCGCCGATGCATCGCAGACGCATCGGCGATGCGGCGAGATCCTCCGACCCCATCTGCTCGGACCTCAGGCGGCGAGCCGGGGAGGACGTGAGAGGAGAGGCGGGCCTTCTCTGAAGGCGGCGGTCTCCTCGGAAGCCCTAGCGCCTTCTGAGAAGTCCTCCTCCTCCTCGTCCTCCTCGTCCTCCTCCTCCATCCTCCTTCTCCTCCTCCTCCTCCTCCTCCTCCATCCTCCTCCTCCTCCTCCTCCTCCTCCTCTCCTCCTCCTCCTCCTCCTCCTCCTCCTCCTCCATCCTCTCCTCCATCCTCTCCTCCAGTCGTCGTCCTGCATCCTCCTCCTCCTCCTCCGCCTCCTCGTCTTTCTCCGAAGACGGACGGCCTCTCAGAAGGCGCGAAGGTTTCTGAGAAGCCCCGCCGCCTTCTGAGGAGGCCTGCCCCTTCTCATTTCATCCCTGTGGATAAACGGCCGTGACGGGGGGACAACGGGGGGGGATGAGGAGGCCGGCCACGTCACGATTCGCGCCGGCGCCCTCTGGGATTGCTTAGGAGTGTCTAATCCCCACACGGCGCTGGCACCTGGTGACGTGACCAGGGGTGGAGGTTGGGGGGCGGGGCCCGTCACGGGCGCTATCGCGAGTGACCCAAAACAACGGGCTCCAGGGGTAACGTTTAGGAGCAACGTCGGGGGGGCAGTGGCAAACTTCGAGGGGGTCGAACTTCGAGCTGCTCGGTTCTCGCACGTCGTCGGCGGTTTTCAGCTTCGGGGTACCGTCCAGCAATTGCGCCTCGCCGAGAGTGTTCTGGGGGCGCCTGGATCGTCCCGAACGGCCGCCGTAGAGTTGAATCGGGCATGTCCCTCTACAGGGGGAGTATTCGAAAACAGTCAGAAAATAGTCCGGGCACGATTTTTCTATTATTTTCAACCATATTGAAATATTTTTGACAACTTTTTCATTTTTCGTCCAAAATCCCCCTGTAGGAGGACACGCCCGACCTAACGCCGTCGAGCCGAGTTGGATGGCGCGGAAACCAGCAGCAACGCTGGGGAGGGGGGGCAGGCCCAGGGGGAGTGCGCCTCGCCGACCCGCGATCGCCCATTGATCGCCGCCAGGGGGCCACACGGCCCCCCCCCGCCCAGGAACCTGCGGACTCGCCTTCGTTACGTCGGGCCTGTCCCTCTACCCACCACCCACCAAACCACCCCAACCCAACCCGAAGGCTCAGATTTACCCTCGATTTCCAGTGGGGGGGGTCGGGAAACATCGAAAAAACACATGTGGAACCCTTACCCCCCCAACCCGAAATTCGGGTCTTCGGGTTGGGTTGGGGTGGTCTGGTAGGTAGTCATCTACAGTCGGCCCGGATTAGTAGGTCGACCCTGCCAAGTCAAGGGTACCCTTGTGTCCTGCGCCTCGCGGCCCATGCCTTCTCGCATTCCTATGGCAGTGTGGCCCCCGGAAGGGCCTCGTGTCCTCTCGCGTGTCTTCTCCAATCAAGTCCGACTGTACAGGAGAAAGATTCCAGAATGGTCAAACAAACATCGGATGGGGAAGATGTGTCGATTGTTGTTCGAGTATTTGTGAGTATTGTTAGGGTTTCTTGTCTCAGTTGTCCGTCCCAACTCCGGCTGTAGCGCGAGGGGGCCACGTAGACGTTCCCGCCCAGGAAGAAGCGCGAGCGGGAGACCTGCCGCCGATCTATCGGCCGTGTGTCGCCGGTTCCAGCTCGATATCTCCTCCCCTTGAGCTGGTCCTCTCGGGGGCAACGATCGCGGGGGATAGGCATAGGGGGGGATGCATCGACCCCCCCAATCGCCCATTGATCGCCGATAGGTGTCCGATAGCCCCAGCCTCCCCGGGAACGTGCGGATTCACTATCGGAGGCCTATCGCCGATGCATCGGCAATGTATCGCCGGTTCCAGGTCGATGTTCCCCCCCCCTCCTATCCCTATCCCCCCTATCGTTGCCCCTCATCCTCCCCCATCGTTGCCCCTCACAGGAGGGGCCGCGGCTCTCGGGGATGGAAGTTTTGTTCGGTAGCAAGTCATGGGAGCCTTGTACACCCTCGTCGCTCCGTCGCACAAGCGCACCAGCGTCGACTGGCGTCTGGGAATCGATGAGTCAGCGCCCACTCGGCGTCGACTGGCGTCGATCCCAACCAAGAAGGGGCCCCCTTGAGTTGCCGCAGAGGGTCACCACCCACCAAACCACCCCAACCCAAAGCCCGAACGCCCCGATTTGCTCTACATTTTCGGTGGGAGGGGGGGGCGCGGAACATGGAAACAACACACACGAAGCCCGTACCCCCACCAACCTGGCATTCGGGTGAAGTTTTCGGGTATTCGGGTTGGGTTGGGGTGGCCTGGTAGGTAGTCGGAGAGGGTTCGTGTGGAGCAGAGCCAGGCTTGATAGGCCTGTTTTCCACCACCACCACCATAAGCTGGAGAGGGAGAGGGTCCTCCTCCTCCTCCTCCTCCTCCCTCGTCGTCCTCCTCCCTCTTCGTCCTCCTCCTTCACCTCCTCCCCCCCTCCAGCTTTATGGTTGTGGTGGTGGTGGTGGTGGAAAAAGCCAGGCTCGTGCCGTGTCGGCGCGCGGCGGCTCCACCTGGCGCGGGCGTGCGAGGCCGAGCGCCGCCCGAGGCCCCGGGGGTCCGTCGGCCGAGGGCTCGGCGAGCGACTCTCTGCGCCGGCGGGGAGAGCCGCGGAGGTGCCTCGGGGGCGAAGGTGGCGAGAGGGTGGCCTCGAGGGTCGGTGGTGTTCCAACATACGTTGGCCTGGATCACCAAAGAGAATGTCGTGCACCAGGAAAGTACCGTATGATGGGGACAGCATAATTCGAGGGGTGCTCTGCGTCTCGTCGTGTGGGGGTGCCCCTGTCTGACGTCGAAGAAGAAACAGCGCCAGACATACACTTTTGGCGCTCCGCGCGGGTTTCTTGGATCCGCGCTTGGGTCCCCCGCGGCGGCGCCTCCATCGCCGCCCCTGGCGCGCCCCGCGCGCCAGGGAGGGGGATCCAGCGCAGATCCAAGAAATCCGCGCGGAGTGCCCAAAGTTCATGTTTATGGCGTTGTTTCCTTCTTCTATTCGAGGGGTACTCTGCGTCTCGTCGTTTGGGGGGTGCCCCCGACCGACGGGAGTCAGCCTGGCCTCGTCGGCGTGCCGCGAGGGGATGTCCGGGCGCGCTCGTCGCGCGGGCGTTGCGGTAATTATCAGGAGTGTTCGCGGTTCGGTCGTCTGGGCCGCGTCGCGGTCGGGTGCGTTCGGTCGGTTCGCTTCGGTCGGTTATTTTGTCAGTTGCCGCGTCGCTGCGCCTTTCTGGGTTGCCGGGAGGCCGCCGGTTTCGGTCGGTTTCGGTTTCGCTGTCGGTTCGGTCGGGTTTCGGTGTTGTTGTCGCCGTGCACGGCCTCGAGTGAGCGCCACGGAGTCCAGCGTGGTGACAGCCCGCAGGAGCGGCCGAGGCTCGAGGACCGAGGCTGTTGCAGGGCAGCCGAGGTCGGAGCGTGATCTGTCGCCGGAGGGGCCCTGGCTGTGGGCCCACAGTCGGGTGCTGCTGGGAGCGCCCCCGGCCCAGGGTGCCCCCAGCTTCTCGCTCCATGTTGGAGCCCCTGGCGCCCTCTGGGCCTCGATGGCCTCGTGGGGGGGGGCCCTGGAGGCCGTCTGGGCCACCCCGAGAATCCTGGGGTTGCCTGGGGCCAGGGGTACTTCTAGCAGCACCCGAAACACGGGTCCCCCGATCCCAGAACGCGAAGCGGTAGAAGCTGCTCGTGCGCCCGGGTTTGACCACCCCGCGCCCCCTTCAAGCCGCGCACCAAAGGTCATTCTTGCCTAGGGTTCAGTCGGACACGTCCCTCTACAGGAGGATTAATCAAAAATAGTCAAAAAATAGTATGATAACGATTTTTCGGCTATGTTTGACTATGTTTGAGTTTTGTTTTGGCTATTGCGAAGGCCTTACGGCCGTTGCCGCCGACCCTGAGAGCGGCGAAGATGAAAACGAGGGGGGGGCAGGGTGGAAGGGGTGGAGGAGAGAGGAGGAGGGGGGAGAAGGATGGAGAGGAGGAGAAGGAGACAGAGGAGAGCAGGAGGAGGGGGAGCAGAGGGGGGGGGAGGAGGAGGAGGAGGAGGAGGAGGAGGGAGGAGGAGGAGGGAGGAGGAGGAGGAGAGGACGAGGAGGAGGCCAGAGGCTTTCTTGGGACAGCCTGTGGCTCTCCTGAGGCCGTCTTGGGCCGTCCAGGGCTCCTCTTGCGCCGTCTCGAGGCACTCTTGGAGGCCTCCTGGGCAATTGGGGCTCTCCTGGGCTGTCTTGGGGCAGTTTGGGGGCCCCTCGGGAGCCTCTTGGGGCCTCTTGTGGCTTCTTCGGGGCCTCTTGGGGGCCTCTTGGGGCTGAGAGCTCGACATGTCCGTTCGGGTCCCCCATCTGGGCACTCTCCTGGAGCCGTCTTGGGGGCCTCTTGAGCCGTCTTGGAGGCGTCTTGGGCAGTCTTGGCGCCCTCTTCGGCCGTTCGGGGATCCTCTTGGGGGCCTCTTGGGCCGTCTCGGGGCGATCTTGGGGGCATCTTGGGCCGTCTTGGCGCGTCGGGAGATGGAACGCCAACATCTTTCCAAAACGTATGGGAAATCCATGAGTTTTGTCTCTTGGGGCTCTCGTGAGGAAGCTCCTGGAGGCCTCTTAGAGGCGCTTTGCAGGCCTCTTGGGCCGTCTGGAGGCCGTCAAGGCGTCTTGGACAGATCGTTCGGCGATTCGGGGTTCTCTTGGACTGTCTTTGGGGCCTCTTGGGGCACTCTTGGCCCGTCTTGGGGCTTTTTTGGGGCTCCGGGACTCCCAGGGGGGGCGTGGCTATGTTTGACTCTGTTTGAGTGTTGTTTTGGCTATTTATTTTTTTTCGTCCAACATCCGCCTGTAGGAGGACATGCCCTATGCCTAGGGCCACTCTCGCGTACCTAGGCCTCCCAAACGGGGCCGCAGCAGCCTGGGTCGGAGGAGCGCGCCACACCGCCGACGCATCGGCGATGCGCCGCGATGCTTCGACTGGAAGGGGAGGGGATGATGAATGGAAGGGCGATGAGGCAGCCGGTAAGAGTTAGGAGACCTTGGCATGCCCGATAATGGAGGATATGACGAGTACGGGTCTCGTGTCGAAGTCTCATGCGGAATCCATGGTCCGTCCTTCACGGCGTAGCACAGCACACCGCACAGCTAGGCCCAGCGTAGCATTGAAAAGCATGCCATGGAGCGCCGACGCGTCGCAATGAACTCTGACCCGATTGCGTGGATCCCTCGAGCTTCGGTCTCAGCATTTGTTTCTAAAATTGTACCTCTGGGTGCCGTTCTTCGGGCTCCCTAGGCCATCAGGACAAATTATCCAGGGCGGACAGAGCCTGTCCGAGTGATGGGGTTTGGTCGGGGAGATTTTTTAGGGATCGCGCATCGAGCCGGTCGCGACGTCGGAGGTCGGGGGGTGTTCCAGTTTTCGGCGTGAGCGCGCGGGGAGGTGCGAGCAGGAGGCGAGTCGGCGCACGAGGCGCGGCAGAGTTGGTGCTGGCTCCTTTGCTGACGTAGCCGTGTGCGCGTCAGCCAGCTGAAGTCCATGTCCGGAGACAACTTGTTACCCCCTGGCGAGCGTGGGGCGTGATCGGGGAGGGAGGGGCGATGGGGCCGGTCACGTCACGACTCGCGCTGGCGCCGTCTTGGAATGGCAAGTTCCCACACGGCGCCAGCACGAGTCGTGCCATGGCCAAGGGGAGGAGTGGGGGCGGGGACGGTCAAGGGCGTCACCGCGAACGATGCAAGGATGGGTTCCTGTCGTCGAGAGCAGGGGGCGAGCGAGTGCAGGAGGCATGAGGAGCTGAACGAAAGCTGGCGCCGGCTGCCACCTCGTGGCCGGTGTTCTGCATAGTGGAGTCCCCTTCCCTTCAGTGGGGATGTTTTGATCGGCCTTTTGGGGAACGCGCTGGTTTCGGCGAGAATGGAGGGACGGGGGGAGGGGGACATGGGTGAAAGAGTTCTCACGCTGGAGGGCAGACAGTCCGATTGTATCCCCAGGAGAGCATCACGGAGGGCACCCTGATGGAGTGGCAGAAGAGTGTGGGCGATTTCTGTGCCAAGGTACGCTGCTCTGATTGTTGCTCTTGCTTCCTAGCCCGTCTCTGGCTTTGACGACTCAGTCGGGCCAACAATTGCCAAGCAGATTGTCGTTCTTGTTTCCCAGCAGCCAGCCCGCTGTCGCATCCCTTGTGCTGGAGGGCAGTCGTGCATTGGGTGAGGATTCGTTTCAGGCCACAGCCACGCTACCTCCCATTTCCTTCTGAGGTCCAGAGAAACGCTGGTGGACTTAGCACCTGGGCAGATGTTAGCAGTGTTCGAGGTCTTCGTGACGAGGAGGGCAGTCCAAGCGATAGAGAGCAAACGTATGCATGCCTCTTGGCAGCTTCTGAGTCTCTCTCTCTCTCTCTCGCTCTCTCCCCCCCGCATTTCTCTTTTTTCTTTTTTTTTTTGATTTTTTTTTCTCTCTCTCTCTCTCTCTTTATAACTCTCTCTCCCTCTCCCTCTCTCGTTCTCTCTCCCTCCCTCCTTCCCTCCCTCCCTCCCTGCCTGTTTCTCTATATCTAATTATTTGTGTTTTTTTGTGTTTCTCTCTCTCTCTCTATCTCTTTTGTTTCCCCGCATGTTTCGTGGGGTTATGGTTTTTCTCCCCTGCCGCGTCGCACCCGCGTCTCCTCCCTCACACTTCCCTCCTTCCTCCTTCCTGTCCTCCTCCACGGCACAGCTCACAGCACAGCTCAGCACAGCTCAGCACACCACGTGCACGGTGTGTGGCGACAGCATAGGGGGTGCGCAGGGGGTGGTCCCCGAACGCGGCGTCTATGCGAGCCATGGCGCAGGGCTCGGCAGGCTGGGCAGTTTCTCAACACCATAGGGGGTGCGCAGGGTGTGGTCCCCGAGCGCGGCGTCTATGCGGGCCATGGCGCAGGGCATAGCAGACGTGGCACTTTCTCGACACCATAGGGTGTGCGCAGAGGGTGGTCCCCGAGCGCGGCGTGTATGCGGGTCATGGCGCAGGGAATAGCAGGCGTGGCACTTTCTCGACACCATAGGGGGTGCGCAGGGGGTGGTCCCCGAGCGCGGCGTGTATGCGGGCCATGGCGCAGGGCCTAGCAGGCGTGGCACTTTCTCGATACCATAGGGGGTGCGCATGTTGTTGTTGTGTTTGTGTGTGTGGTGTTTTTGTGTGTTGTGTGTGTGTGTGTGTGTGTGTGGTGTGTGTGTGTGTGTGTGTGTGTGTGTGTGTGTGTGTGTGTGTGTGCGTGCGTGTGTGTGTGTGTGTGTGTGTGTGTGTGTGTGTGTGTGTTTGTGTGTGTGTGTGTGTGTGTGTGTGTGTGTGTGTGTGTGTGTGTGTGTGTGTGTGTGTGTGTGTGTGTGTGTGTGTGTGGGGGGGCCTCGCCCAACCCACGCGGCTTACTCGTCATCTCAGTTAATCCGAGGGTATTGTTGTTGCCCCCCCAGCAGGGGTGAAATATTTCCAGCCGCGGGTGTCACTTCAATTGGCAAGTGGCCATATACATAATTACAAATGGAATGTAGTTTTATTTGTATCGTAGTATTGATTATCTGCTTTTCTTTCTCGTTCTTTATGTTTCTCTTTCTCGCTTCGAGGTGCTGTCTCTCTTTCGGTCTCTGTATATACCTCCCAGGGCGACATTATCGCAGTCATTGAGACTGACAAGGTCAGTGTGGAGTTGAAGGCCGAGGAGAATGGCGTCCTGAAGGAAGGGTGCAGGGGGGGGGTGAAGGAAATGAAGGCCGAGGAAACTGGCGTCCTGCAGGGACGGTTGGGAGGCGGGGAAGAGGATTCGGATGGGTTTTACAAGTGCGAAAAGCAGAGCTAGGATTCGCATCTGAACGTGATGTCCGCTGCAGGAGACGATCACTACGGGTGACAAGCGCGCGGACCGACTTCGTGGCGCGAGCGCAGCGTACTCTAACTTCGGTGCTGCTGGTGCAACAGGTCGGAAGCACAATCCAGGCGGGGAGCAAGCGTATACACCAGGAGGGGGAACAACACAGTCACAATTAATCGTCTACTCCCAGGAAAATATGGGAAGTGGAGGGGACCCAGAAAATATTGGAAAATACGGGGAATCCTGGGATTTGTGTGTATTTATTTGTGTGCCCCTGGGCTCCTTTTATGGGACTGTGGCGCTCTCCTCCCGGCCGGAGTGCCCCTAAGCTGTTGGTTGCCCTCTCTCCTTGGCCCCTCGGCCTGTCCCTCTTGTCTGTCCCCTCTGCTTCTTCCACCAGTGGAGGCCCATGGCAAGAAACACCCTGCCTGGCCTCCCGGGTGCCCTTTGGCTTCTTGGGTTTCGACGGTTCTTCTACAGTCGGCCCTGATTAGTAGGTCGACCCTGCCCAATCAAAGGTACCCTTGCGTCCTGTGTCTCGCGGCCCATGCCTCCGACATTCCTGTGGCAATGCGGCTCTCGAAAGGGTCTTGTGCCCTCTCGCGTTTTCTGTCCAAGCAAGTCCGGCTCTACGGGCAGCGTGACGCTCCCACACCGGGAACGCGTGATGGACGTCCTGGGGTCTCGGGACTGGGCTTCTGAGGAAGGCTCCTTGTGGGCTGGCCTCCGCTATGCCTGTCCTCCTGCTGTGTGTGGGCCTCCTCCGTTGGTACCAGAGACTTCGGCGGATGCCCGACCACCATTCCGGTGATATTTGTGAATAGAACCCGTGTAATACCCTCATATATACTCCTTATCCTCACCTCTCCTGCGCCTGGCCGTTTGGGCTCAGGTATTGGGACAGATCGATCAGACCTTTGATCGTGCAGGAGGGAAAGACATCCATCTATCCCTCCTTCCCTCTACCAGCGGATCAGGGGTTCTGTACCCTTGTACTTCAACCCCATACACAGGTTATCAGCCCTTTAAAGCTCACCTTTCACCGAACCGCACGTTGCGACCTCGCACGCGGTCTCGATGGAGCCCCTGCGGCGCATGCGCCGCAAGGGGTCCATCGGGGCCTCGCGTCCGAGCTCTCCGACGGCACGACGGCTCGGTGACGAGTTGGAGAGCCTCAGTGCGGACTGTGTTGGTGTTCCAGATACCCCCCCCAGCTCCGACGGACCCGAGGCGCGGCTAGCTGCTGAGCTTCACCGCAGCGCCGCCCGCGGGGGGACAGGAGCAGGAGTAGGAACAGGAAGGAAGGAGTTTCACACGCCTACCTTCGATCCTCCATCCCCTCCCCCGTCGGAAACAATCCCAACCGCGTCAGGCGAAAGCCTCACTGGTCATGACACTCCAGGGCGCTTTCGCGCTAACCGCCGATGGACCTCAGGTGCTGGTAGCCCCAGCCATGCGACCGTCCCCGCGGCGGAGCACGTAGCCTCCTTCGAGGAACTCAGTAGACCAGTGGCGGCGCAGCCGCAGACGCAGCACCCAAAGGTATCATCGGACGAGACACCACGCACACATGGTCCGAGTCGCAGCTCGTCCGCACGCAATCGCCGTGGAGCCCCAGGCCCATACGGCGAGAGTAGGTCGAGCCCGCGCACTGCCTCTCAGAGGCCATGCACTCCCCGTGACAGGGGACACAGGGAAGCTGACGCTCCCCACCTCTCCATTTCAGACGACCAGCTGGCGGAAACGTCCGCCGCAGGTGAAATAGCTGAGCTCAGAGACCAGGTTGAAACCTTCGTGTCCAGGCAATACTCTGGACTACTGCAGAGCGTTCAGGCGAACGCCGCCGATACTCCAGCCATGCGCCACGATCTGGACGGCGCCTTAGGGATCATTGATTCCAGGATCGCTGAAGATCGACGCATCATAGGTGAACTGCAGCACCAGGTTGATCGTGAGGTGCCCCACTCAGGTGAACGAACGGCGATGGTCGAGAACCTGCGCAACTACCTCGCGCAGATGGAGCAACAGCTTGTGCTCGTACGCGACACAGGCGTTTCAGCAGTCAGGATTTTACCTGATGAGATCCACGACCAGCTCCGCAACCGACCAACACCAGCCGAGGCCACCGACCTTGGCGACGTTCAGTCTCAGATCAGTGATCTTCGATCTTATCTAGACCACACTACGGCGACGCTTCGCAACGAAGCACGCGCCAACTCGTCGAACCTGATCGACATGTTGCAGCGTACTGAGAGAGTCATCACTCAAAGGCTTGATGCGACCAACGCTGTCGTGCAGCCACTCGCTAACCGGATCTCTGACATCGAGCAGCGTTTTCCTGGTATGCAGGACGCCCTGGCAGAGTTGCGTGTCGGACGAGCCCAGACTGGCCAGCTGGATTCTCCTCCCACGGTTTACGATTTCGCCCGCCTCACTGACAGGTTGCAGGAGGTTGAGAAGGCGGCGGGTCACGCGCAGTTGGAGCTCTCCCAGGTTATTCGTGAAAGAGATACTGAGAAGGTACGCGTAGAGGGCCACCTCGCACGTCTGGAAAGCGAGCTGGAGGCGCAAAGCGCCCGTCTCCGAGCACGCGAGCAAAGACTTGATCGGCATTCACAACGTCCTCGGGATACTGATGAGTATACACGCCAAAAGGTGGCACAAATACACGAAGACATGACGAGCTGGACGAATCAGCTGATCGACCACACCAACGACACCAATCTCCACCTTCGACCTGCAACCGACCTGCACAGGCCGACGGCAGCGTCCGCCGAAGCAACACATGCTTCTGCAGGACAACAACGACGTACGTCACCGGGAGCAGCCTCCGCGGCAGCTTCTGCACAGACACGCCATGTGTCTCCTGTGCGCACAGAACCAACTACTGACGGTGCACTACCTACTACTGCGGTTTCGGTCCATACTACAACTCCTATCAAGGAGTCAGACACCGTCCGAGTCCCTGTCTTGCCTGAGATCACGCAGCTGCTCGAGTGGCAGCAAAAAGTACGGAAGAACTTCGGGGCCGCCTCAGGGCGACCATCCAAAGCGTACGCCTTCCTGCGCGTGGCTGAACAGCCCGAATGTACATTCGAGGACTTACAAGACAGTGGAGACTTGGAGAGCATCGATTGCAAACTCGCTACCGCTCTGAGCGACATCTTATCCTCGGACTTACGCTACCAAATCAGGCTCATCGAAACTAGAGAGCACAAAGCAGGACGCATGCTCAAAGGACGCCAGATTTACTGGCACATCCTACAGTCCTACAAAGTGATAGAGGTTGACGATGACCTGCACGATTTCGAGCGCTTTCAAGAACTGAGGATGAGAGATGACGATTTGCAACGTTGTATTACTGACTGGGACGCTTTACTCTTGGAGTGCCGAGAAGCACCCGATCCAAAGATCTTGGAATCGCTGTTTCGTACACAGATTCGGAGACATGTATGGATGAAACAAGACATGTACGAATACCAGCGACTCGTACCTATGATTGGCTCCGACAGCGTGTCCTGGACATACTGGAGCTTAAACAATTGGAGAAGAATCAAAATAAGTTACGGTACGAACATGAGACACGTTCCCAAGTCAACGCGCGCGCTGCCTGGAAGAAAGGGAATTGTCGCAATGGTGAACGGTGCAAGGCTTTGCATACATATTCCAGGGATTGGAAGAACAACAAATCTTCCAGAACATCGACGGCTGGTGGCAACTCCCGCCGTAGTATGTCCACTCCTGCGAATCAAAAGAGGCCAGCATCGAAACCATGTTGCTTCGATTTCGCCAAGCGCAACACATGTGCCAGAGGCGACAAGTGCAACTTTCCACACGTCGCACAGTGTAAAGATTTCGCACATAATAAGTGCCCAAGAGGCGATCAATGCACATACGCTCATCTTACACCTGGTGCGAAGACTCCCGAGCGAAGCCCGAGTCGACCACGGACCTCCAGTCAGGATAGCCGCGGCCGATCACCATCCCGCGGATCAGGAAGCCAACGTTCTTCACAACGCGGGGGGTCCCGCTACGCAAACGACTCACGCCATGGACGTGACAACCGACGCCAATGCGACCGATCTCGTTCAACATCCAGGAGGTCCCCAGACTCCCGCAGTCAATCGAGAAGTCGATGCGACAGATCTTCGAGATCTACCTCCCGAGGGCGAGACAATCGCGGCGGCGGACGCGGTAGTCCACGCGGCCGTGATAGATCATATGGCAGTGACAAAGGACGTGGCAGACGTTCCCCGAGCCACGGTTCGCCCCGTGGCTCACCCCACGCTAGAGCACGTTCTCCTGCCAACTTTCGACGTTCACGCCGTTCCGACCGCAGTTACGTCATCCGTGACAAGACCCTCATGGCCAACACTAAGGCCACAGCGACATTTACCAAAACACGTCGTCGGATACGCTTCGACATACGTAACGTGGAATACTATTTACATACCGTATCTGGCAGAGCCAGATTGGATAAATGGAAGGAGATGCCGAACGAGGGTGACATCGTCAATGTACAAGACCCGTTACCACAACGATGGTGGGATCAAAGTGCGGACGCCCTACGAGAATGTCAAAAAGAGGCACAGCTATGGTACTCTGACCTATATGACTACCGACACAATAAAGAGTCGGTGGCCACACCAACTGCGTTCCGAGAATATGACGACACTGTTAAGCAGTCATCAAAGACAGCCCAGACGAAGACAACGCCAATTCAAGTCGACCCACCACGCTCGACTGCTGCATTGACACGATCTTGGGTTCTCGACAGTGGTTCTGCTCATCATATTCAGGGAAAACATGAACTGACGCAGACCGAATCGGATCGCATATCTATTCGCGAAGAGCATATTCTGGAAACC